TGGTGTTGGCCGGCACCTTTTGCTGTGGTTCCGCCTGACTTCTGTATCCTCCTAGGCAGGGCTGGGTGAGCGGTTCTTCACGCTTGAGACTGAGCAGGCCAGGTCAAAAACTAAGTTTTAATTCATTAATTCCCAGTATGCTCCTTCTCTTCTTTGCATTAAAAACTAGCAATTTGGCAGCAACTGTGGGTTCTCGGGTTTGGGCTTTCTTTGCAGGGATCGCACGCATTGTGGAGACCCATCAGCCCATTGTGGAGACGTACTACGGGCCTGGCAGGCTTTATGCCTTGATCAAGCACCTGCAAGCAGAATGTGACCAGCAGGTGGAGAAGGTTGTGGAGAAGTTTATCCAGCAGAGAGACTATCGTAGGCAGGTAAGAGAAGGAAAAAAGGCTGAATGTTCCAGGTGGCTTCCCTGTGATTTGCTGGGTCTTACTCTCAGGAGTGTGCATGAAATGGAAAATATATTTTGTTGTTTGTTTACAATAAAGCACCCTGCGTGGAATATTTTTCAGAACATTCCAGATTAGCTGCACTGGGACCAAACAAGCCCAAAACATTGTAAATGTTCCAGCCATAGGCAGAAACGGGAATTTGGCTCTCTTGTTTTTCCACCCCAGAATTACAGGAGCAATATTGACTGCAAGCCACGCTGGCTACCAACTAACTTGCAGAAAGTTTGGTGAAATGGACAATTAAAATAAAAACCCTAAAGGTGGGCATGCCCACAACGAAGCCCTGGGATTCTAACTGACAGAAAAGGAACCACGCTGGTTTTACCTTGGACCCAACTAACCGGGAACATTTGTCCTGGGAAACAAGATGCTTGTTCAGTCAGGGCAGGACTCTAGGCTGCCAAGGGCCAACCTGGGGTTCATCTGGGGTCTGAACCAGGCCCAGCACAGCTTAAGGGCTCCTGCACTTAAGAGATTTGTCACAAAAATGTTTCAAGGGTGGAAACAGCTGTCGCATCTCAAATCATACTTCCAGCAGCAAGACCGCGGCAGTGTGGCTTCTCCCAAGACTGCCCTTCCACTTCCTAGCAGCCCCTGCAGCAAGATCCACGCTGGGCAGGGCAGGGCAGGGCAGGGCAGGGCAGGGCAGGGGCTATTGAAACCAGGAGTCTTGGCTTGGATTCTCCAGGTTTGCCTTGGGTTGAGGAAGGAGCCATTTTTCTCTGGGCTGCTTCAGCCCGGCCTGGCCAATGCTGCTGTGGCCTGGGATCGGTCCTGTTCCTTCTGCCCTCAGAGGGTTGGTCTGCAGTGAGATCTTGGGAAGATTGTTCCCCCAAAGCCGCTGCCTGGTGTGGGTTGGCCCGGTGAAGAGAAGCGTAACAGCTCTTGTCTTCCACTGCTTGCAGTTCCAGCATGTTCAGAGCAGCGCGATGAGGAGTGCGGTGGGAGAGAAAATCGAACCAAGGTGGGGCCACCTCTTTTTCCTCTTTCAGCTTGCAGGGCAGATAAAAGCGAGACAAGCTCTTTCCTGGGGAAGATTCAGATTTGCTGAGCAACTCAGGGATGAGTTATGAGATTGGCTGGTTCCTTGTAGCCCTCGAGGGGGCCAGACATAGTGCCAGCCCTCTCCCACAGGCCCGTGTCCACTCTGGGAATGAGCAGCAGGTTCTTCAGAAGGGGAGCTGAATACAGTTGGTGCAGGTCTTTAGATGTCGCTCCAGGAGAATGTGACTTGCCTGGGAGCTTTGGGGCTTCCTCTTAGCTGCTATGCTACATTAGAGAGGTCAGATTTACTATAGAAGCCAGGGACGTGCTCTGATTTTGGGGGAAATTACAATTCCCCTTACAGTAGCATGGTCCAGCAGGGGCTGAAATCCACTGTATTCTTTGATACTTCTTTTTTTTTTTGATATAATTTTTATTTATTAAAGAAATTTTTAAGAGAATAAAAACAATACAAATTTTGGAAGAAAAAAAGTAAAAAGAGTAAAGGAAAGTTTTAAGTGAAAAAAGGTACAAAGAGAAAAAAATGAAAGAAAATAAAAAAAATAATAAAGTGACTTCTAACCTTATCAGCAGTTACAAGTACATTTATATTTTACCCTCTCTCTCTAAGGTTGCAACATAATTTCCTTCTTTCCATAGTCTACCCTTTCTAGTCATCACACCCATAAATCACAAGTTCATTTTTTTTTCCCCAGCAAAAAGTCCATAAGAGGTTTCCAGTCACTAATAAATGTAGCGATTGTCCTCTCTCTACTCAAACAAGTCAGTTTTGCCATCTCTGCTAATTCTGTCATCTTCAGCAGCCATTCCTCCATTGTGGGCATTTCAGAGTCTTTCCATTTTTGTGCATATAATAGTCTTGCAGCAGCTATCATATATAAAAACAATCTTCCATAACTCTTTTTTAATTTTCTATCCATTAGTCCCAGCAAGGACAGTTCTGGTTTCCTGTTCTTTGATACTTTGATCTTTGTGTTGTGGTGTTCAGTTAGTTGGGAAAATCTGCAGATGACTGACAGATTTCCATAGAATCCATGTCCAACATGAGCCATTCCTTGCCTGTGCACCTCTTGTGAGAATTGCAGAAGAATTTTCAGCAGTGCCACGAGGAAACTGAAGATAGTAAAATGTCATACCCAGAGAGCTCCTTGTTGGACATTTTTACACTTGGCTCAGCAGACTGGTTCTGCGTCCCCTTTCTCCAGCTGACCTTTGCTTTGCTACTCACAGGGAGCTTGACCCTATTTTAACCGAGGTCACCTTGATGAATGCCCGGAGTGAACTTTATCTGAGATTCATCAGGAGGCGCATCATCTCTGACTTTGATGTGGGAGATTCTATGGCTTCCGAGGAGGTGAAGCAAGGTAAAACCCCTGGGTGCATGCTAGGGAGCCTAGGTGTGACGTGGGAGTCAGTTGGCTTCCTTCCTACGGCTCCGTCATTGCCTTTATCGGCCATAATGAACCTTGGAGGTGCCCCATGCATGACACGAGGAAGCCTATAAAGAACCAAATCCTGCCACCTGGGTTTGGCATGTTGTTTCTTTGTCCCTTGGAGTGTGCCTGGCTTACTCCCCAACTGATATGAAAAACACAGCCGTCTAAAATGTCATAGTATAAAATTTTATCTGATTTTATCAAGGCTGGGTTTCCATATCATGTTATGTCGTGGTGTGGACTGTGTGTGTGGTGTGAATTCAGATACTGTGGTTCGAAACACATTCTTGTCCGTCCCTGGTAGGGATGCCTGTGCTCTCCTCCTCTCTCTCTGTCTCTCTCCAGAAGCTCATCTTAACGTCTGTGTTCTTGTACTATAATTAATGAATTTTACTGTATGCCTTGTAAGCCACTTCAAGAAGTTATAGCAAAGAAATATATTCATTGATGATACTAACCGTAGTTGCACCCAGTCTGTAAATGGACTCCCAATATTTTAATCATGAGTGCCAGGAACCTGAGAATTGTTCTGGGCAACACCTATGAACGCAGTATAAGCCTAGGGCTGTTTTGCCGCTCCCTGATCGTAAAAGAAAGAGAGCCGCCTGTGGATCACGTGCTGAGCATCCCATCAACCAGGCCGGCTGGGAAGGGGGCAGGCCTTGGGAAGGAGACAATAGCTCTTCCACCACTGCCACCCGTTCAGCTCTGGGAACTGTAGTGGGCTAGCTATGGCTGCCCTTGCGTGCCAGGACTCCTCCTGTCCTTCCAACGTGTCAGTCCTCTCTTGCCTTTGGTGCTGTGACCCTGACACCTTGGCAGCAAAGGAGACAGGCCGTGCCCAATACTTGCCAAGTAGGCCACAGATGCCTTTTAAGATAGGGGAGTGCATGGGGGGTATTAAGAAGGTGCCTCATGAAAGATTTGCCATCTGGAGCCACAGGCCTTTGCAACATCATCTCTTCAATATTTAATGGCCTTTCTAAATTCTCAACTGCACAGAATTAAGTCTCCTTAACTCAGTATTTTGATTACATCTTTTCCACCCCTGTGCTAGTCCTGCTTGTATCGTTTTTCAAAACGTTCTGCCGTTTCTTAATCGTTGTGGTTCTGCTTCACAGAGCATCAGAAGTGCCTGGACAAACTGCTCAACAATTGCTTTCTGAGCTGTGCCATGCAAGAGCTGATTGGCTACTACATCACCATGGAAGAGTACTTTATGAGAGAGACTGTTAATAAGGTAGGATAAGCTGTCTGGAACTTCGCATCTGTTCTCCTTTCCTTCCTGGATGGAGCAGGCCCATCCCAACATACTCAGTTGCATACGTAAGTCACGCTGCCAAAACTGCCTATGGAAAGGTGGATCCATTTCCTTCATGGAAAGCCCAGTGGGAAGGAAAATGCCTTCGGCTAGTCCACCTTGACTGCTCCAACAATCCAAGCTTCAGCCAGGAGCTTTTCTAGCCTGCTAGGGATGGAAGCCAAGTTCTCTCAGTTGAAGTAACTGGACTCTCCTACTCAGGAGTGTCTCAGTTTCCTATAATGTTGGTTTGGCTTTCCAGTTGTGGTTTGGTCAGCAAGATATGACTTAATGCAGTGTGAATCCAGCCATAGCTGAGCAGAGGAGATGGCGATGATGATAAGACCAGTTTGACATTTTCTGCTGAGGAAAGAAACTCTTTCATTCTCTTGTCTTCAGAAACAGTAAAATTTAGGATGCCAGGAGCTAGGCCTCCCTGGCTGCCTGGGTAGACCCAGTGTTTGTGGGCCTGACAAGCCCAAAAGATGTAGGTCAGAGCAAATTACAAGAGCAAGTTGGCCTTTCTGCTAGGCTGTGGCGATGGACACCTGTGAGAAGGGTCAGCTAACCTCCAGCATGGTGGACGATGTTTTCTACATAGTGAAGAAATGCATTGGGAGAGCTCTTTCCAGTTCCAGCATTGACTGTCTCTGTGCCATGATCAACCATTCCATCGCTGAGCTCGAGTCAGAGTTCAGGTAGGTGGTGGGGACGGAGACTCCGATGGGCAACGTTTGAGGAGCTCTTCCAGGAATCAGAGGTTCTGCCACGTCTCATCTAGGTCGCCATAAAGCAGCAGAGACACGAGATGCTCTTTGGACTGGGTGGGCTTCCCACAGGCCTAACTGTTGCAGGTTATCGGAAAATAGATGTGCAGACTTGGGGGCTGGACTAGATGATCTCCAGAGGATTGGAGGAGAGGATCTCCCAGAACCCTGAGGGTGGGAGGGGACCTTGGAGATCATCTCCTCCAACTCCTGTCCAGTGCAGGAATCCTCCACTGCAGCCAGCTTGCCTGCCGCCACTGCCGCTGGAGTAACCAGACCTTGGATGGTCCCCAGCAGGCCAAGCCCGGTTTAAATAAGGAGGAAGTCTGCTCCGTTCTCGGACGGCTCCTGCACTGAAATGGGTCGGCTAAACTTCCGAGCCCCGGTGCGCTTGGACACAGAGCTGAGCACTCGTTCGGTTTTGTGCAGAGCCCTACTGCAAATGCTTTTCTTCGCCCTGCTTCTGGGCAAAAGGGTCTCCCAAAGGGGCTTTCCAAGGTCCGAGTATATAAAGAAGTCTGACCCCCTTTGTGCACCCTTCTCTGGATTAAATGTTCTGAGTTTGAAATAAACGACAGAACTACAGATTCAACTATTTCCTGCTCCAGATAGCTTGGCAAGGATGGCCAAGACTCTTTCTGTGCCCAAGGGCAGAATTTACGTCAGACGAACATGGGCAGGA